AGCATTAAGAACCCATTTCATTACTATTTTTCTCGTCCTGAAAACCTCTGACATAACCCAGCAATAAATGACTGGTTGATTAATTTTCGAACACTGGTCTAGCTTCGTTTTGCGCGTTAACCAAGAATGGTAGCTGAAGTTTCTATCATTAGGTCATGTTTCACTGAGTATGTCCATTGCAGTTGTAGTTTCTATCTTAGCCAGGTCAAACTTCACTGAATATATGCATGGCATCTGTAGTTTTGGTCTTGTCATGCGTCACTGAATATGTCCAAAGTAGCTGTAGTTTTTATCTTTGTCATGTCACGCTTCATAGAATATGTCCACGACAGCTGCAGTTTCTATCTTAGTTTGGCCGTACGTCACTGTATATGTCCATTACGGCTGTAGTTACTATCATAGTCAAGTCATGCTTCACTGAATATGTTCATGACAGCTGAAGTTTATATCTTAGTCAGGTTATGAGTCACTGAATATATCCTTGACAGATGAAGTTTCTATTTATCTCCTGACGTTTTAAACACACCATGCTAAGGAAAACCTACACTGATATGTTTTAAACTTTACAAATAACATGGTTCTTAAGGACGGCGGCTAGGTCGATTGAGCTAGATTTACTGTTTTTTCGAGAGGGTGGGTGGCACAAATCAAATCAGCGTAAATCTCTGTCACATGTTTTGGCTTTGAGACTTTAGGGGAACACGGGTGTCATGTTAATTTTGCCTATTAATATTGCCTGTTACGGGGAAACATAAATAACAAACGATTGTGGGACACTGGATGTCAGATGGATGAAGAAACATTAAAATAGCAACTTGTAAAAAGAAACCGTTTCTAGTCAAGAATATCAACCAAGATATTTCACGATTGAGTCAACTCACGAGAATCAAAAGCTCGTCATGATTTCGCTAATTGTTATTGTAAAATTCCTTCAGGGTCTGTCTTGGAGAGCCAAAGTTAGTTTCCATCAGTTTCCGTCAGGCTGAAGCCAAAACAGTACACTGATAATAGGCTTCTATCAAGGAGATTCGTGGCGATACCAATCAAGGTATTTCCATAAAAATCCACTTAACACGTGTGGACGTGTCGATAGACAGCCAAAGATAGATTGCTATGCTTCAGAACTTCTGATCGCAGACCGGGTTTTATCCGTGCCATTGTACGTCATTTTGTTTGCAACGGAGTGTCATCCTGGAGTATGTTTTTTTTGTTAAGTTTTTTTTCTTTGTGTATCTGGAATATATCATTTGATGGGGTCTGCATGGTCATACCAACATACATCCCTGATTCCATGGATATTCTTTGAATCGTTCTTTAGCATTATTAGTACTTACCTTTTTTTGTATTTGTTTCAATGTGTATTTCTTTGATATTTGCTCCGAGAGAGACAAAAACAAAAATCTACGATCATTTTGCGATATGTAGTGAAAATTTGATCTACTTCATCAAGTGCAATCTGCTGTCCACTTGTATTTATCTCACAATCCGCTGGACACCATAAATGAAATATCCTTTGTCATTCATTTGAGATTGCTTTGCGATATATGTAGGTTTTATTATAGAATAGTCCATTTAAAAATAAGTTGTCATGTTTATTTATTTAAAGGATTTTAACAATATTTTCGAAATATATTACTAAAAGACTCAACCATCTTTTTCGGCTCAATTTTGTTTTCTTTTAACAACTCTTATAGTAAACTTCCGTTTCCTGTTCTTTTTTATGCTTTGTACGTTGGGATTACTTGTAATTAAAACTTGATTATAACATGGCATTCATCTGCTAAGTAAGGTCTTAACCCAGCTTGCTTATTTATATGCATGATAAATGTTCATCAATAAAATGTTTGATTGGAGCATTTATGAAAATGTATTGGGATGATGATTCAGATTTGTCAATAGTAGTTCTTTAAAAACTTAAGTGGGCCGTGCAATCAGAACCCGCCCAGGATTTTCCACCCACATTCTGAAAAATCAAATACAAAATACTGCAGTAACCGCCATTGCATATACTTATAGGTGTAAATTGTCTATCAAAGGATGTCGTACATAAAACACACGCCATTACATAAATCATTACCGGCAACTCGACTGAGATCACATGTTAATGGCCGAAACATTGTCAAATTTCTTTCTTAAATGATGAACTTACTACAGAACTTTGTATGCAATTAATGTATGCAATTATTTCCATAAAGGTGTCTTAAAAGCCATTAACGTGCATTTATTATGCCTAGCGTAGGTTAGCGTGCGGTCATGTTGTCAGCCATTTTCATAGCTTTATTACTCAAAGAACAACCGAGATGCACGAGATATTACCATTGCAGGCAACACAATGGGAATAACTTTCGCCTTGTTCTCGAACTCATAATGTCAATTTTGCAAATGTCGCTGTTATATTTTGGACTGGGAGCATCAAGTTATAACGATCAACGTTATTCTAAAAAAATGAAGACACGATCATATTCTTATCCAAACATTCGTTTTAAGTTTCTATAATTATATGGACTTCACATTAGGTTTCATAATTGTGACGATATTTGAAACTATTTAAAAGTTAATTATTAGTTAAGTACTATCAGGGGTCCGTGTAGTTCATGCGGAATCGTGTGAATAAGATGAAATCAAATGAGAAAATCGAAAGACACCAAAATGTCTAATCTACTCCGGTTTGGTATCTTGTTCTTATTTCCGTTAATATACGGGGTCAAATAATGTTCAGATATTCACCTATCGCTAACTTCCTGATATCCTGTAATTGAATGATATAGCCTTGGGTAGAAACACTTTCAGCTTTAAACTTCTGTGATTGACGTCTTTTGATTTGTATCATACAAAAATATATCGATATTTCTCTTATTAGACACTGCTTCTGGATAGTCTTCAGAGCACATTGGCTTATCTGGAGGAATTAGACTTGGATAAGGACAATGATTAACGCTTTATGAGAATTCTGACAGGTTTCCTTGAGAAGGTTTATTGAATTCCATTACTTGACGACCGCAATGCATCTGCTATAGTTCAAAATAATTGACGCGTTTATTATTAAATGTTTGTAGGGCAAAGTTGATAGCTTGGTTTGCGCAGGAAGTAGGTTTAAATTATTGAAGAGTTACTGACGTCCGTCATACTAAAATCGATCTGTTTTACATCATGAGAGATAACGCAATATCAAATCCTTCAACGTTGTAAGATTTATTGCGCATTATAGTACGTCTGTGCAAGAATGTAATGGTGATTATTAGCTATCTGAAATAATGAAAAACTGACAGAAATTCAAATGCAACCAAGCAGATAGAGATTAAAAAAAGCCAGACATGCGCAAGAACAGGGATTATAATTTGAAAACGAAAGAGAATGATTTGGGGAGGCCAACTGTTAAGTAAGAGAAACACAAACTCAGATTAAGGGATATATTAAAATATCGATATAATTCAAGCTGAAGGTGCAAAAGAACTGACGAAATTGCAGACTTTCTTATCTTTCAATAGTGAAACTCGACATGGATTTCGAGGTGGCATACTAATGTCTGCATGAATATTTGGTGAAAGTTGTTTGGATCGAAGATAAAGCTTCACTTACTTCACTTGTCACAACTTGTGACGTTTCAAACTTTTTTTTGGTCTCAGCTGAGAGATTTTCCAGTCAAGTGGTCAATGTTTGTCCTATACAGATCAAATAGCAAAGGAACAGGGAAAGAAGATTTAAGGAAATACAAATTTTGACTTTTTGGCTTATGGAATTTGCTGAATGGAGCAGTTAAGTAACTAAGATTTTAATTATTAAACGTAAAATTAATGATTCCATCTTCTCATCACCTCTTTGAAGCTAGCGAATGATATCGATATGCTTCTCCCTCTGTCATGTCTCGTACATAAATTTATGGTCGAGCGTGGTACCAAACGTTGGTCATTATTATAGATTCGTATAAACATCTTCAGAGACAATCTTTAATTGACGATTGTCATACAGATTGAATTCAAGGGCATATTCAGGTACAGTAAGGTCATAACATTGCTAGTGTTGATATTAGTTTGAATTTAATATCTGCAACCCTGCCTTAGTGTCAAAAAGCAATACTACAATAAATTACAGATACCATCATTCCAACATGTAAATATCCCTTTAGTAGGAATTTATTTATGAAAGAAATACAGGAAAACTTCAAAAACGCGAGTAAAATTAGATTTGTTAGAGGTTTCAATTGATTGAGTATTCGAGATCGCAGGCAACGGAAGGGTTCACGCTGGGAATATGAATTGTTACGTCTAGGGACTTAAACAAGTAACAAGGCAAGTTTATACCCCACAAACATTAAAGTTCCTAAAATATAAATTTATTTCTCTAAAATATATAATCAACAAATGTGAATGAATTACAAAAAACGTACAGTGTATGAATTTCAGGAATGTTTTCCTAAATAGGACTATCAATTTTACGTTAACATTTTTTTAATATTATCAATCACTCTCCTGTAGAATCCAGAGAAATAACGTTCTGTTCAGTTTGGTGCGTGCACACTACGAAAAGAATTTACAATGATTTGTATATTTATTACTATGGAAGGGATGGTGTGTTATACCGAGTCAGTAATCAGAAGAGACAAGGTAAATCAATTGTTTAAGTCTCTACTGATGTTGTCAAGATTTAAACTGGACGTATTCACAACTAGAAGGTTATTTTTAGTTTCATGCAAGTTACTGGTGACCTTGTTTAGCATCAACAAGGGATACTTTGATGTGTGTTTGCGTGTGTGTGCGTATGTGTGTGATTTGGATTTTGAACGCAGGTATAATAGTTTGTCACTCATATTGCTACGATGTCTGTAGTGTGGCAGTTTATAGTGATGTCTAGCACACGTGCATCAAACCGCAGACATATAACATGATGTGCCACCCGGTCACATTATCGTGAAAACCAGGCCAACTAGTCCTAGCACTAACCTCTTAATGCTGAGCACCTAGGGAGGCAGCTGTTAGTACCATTTTTATAAGCCTTTGGTATGCCTCGACCGGGGATCGAACCCACGACCTCCAGCATCAGAGGTGGATGCTCTAATGACTAAGCCACCGGAGCGGACAATAGTTTGTTGTCTCAAGACTGTATGATTTAACTGCTTGGTAGTGACGAATTTCGTGATTTGTTCTTAGTATGTTATGAAAACAGCTGTACTGTTTAAATTATGTTTCCAATCATTAAGATAATCACTAAAATCTAAAATATTTTGATGGTACTACCGCTGTACCCACTTAAGTACCACTCATTACAGTAGTGTACTTACGGAAGGAGGAGTTGAAGGGGAAGTTGCCCCGGGTGTCAAAGGTCTTAGGATGCCAAAAAAAAATCCCTTGGGGGGGGAGGGCATCATTATCGCCCCGGGCACCATTTACCCTTAGAACTCCACTGACTCAGAATTCCTTTGTTCTTTAGAAAATATGATTTGTATGGATACCTGATTTCGTATATATATATATATATATATATATATATATATATATATATATATATATATATATATATATATATATATACGAATTTAAATGGAATTTTACCGGCTCCTCTAATTTAAGGAGTACTTGCCATAAGTTCGTTTTCTGTGAGCTCTTCATATTGTAACGAAAAGTCTTATGTCTATAGTTTTTATTGACGAGTTTAAGAAGAGTGTCATTCATTCTTTGTAAGCGCAATCGGGGTTTAGACTGAGAAATCTGCATCAGTTCTATTTATGCGGCAAAGGACTGTAACAATTACTTCTATTTATATTTAGGTGGTAAAGGACTGTAAATATCACTGTTTCAAATATATTTAAATTGTAAAGGACTATAAATATCCCTGTTTCAATTACTTATAACTAGGTTTGTAAAGAATTTAAATATCACTGCTTCAGTGACTTATGTTTAGATTGTAAAGGACTGCAAACATGACTACCTCAATTACTTATAACTATGTTCGTGAAGAATATATATATATATATATATATATATATATATATTATTATTACTTCAGTGACTTATATTTAGATAATATAGGACCATTAATATAACTGCTTTCAAGCGAGACTGTTGTTAACATTTTCCATGGAAAGACTTGATAAAAGCACAGTAGACGATTACTCGCAGAATAAAGCAAATTCATCCAGTTTGGCCTTGTTGCCTTGTCGCTCGTTTGTCAATTCATCTTGTAGATATAACGTTGTGAAGAATATTGCCTTTAAACATATTAATATAATCTACTCAGGTATGTCTATGCATCGTTTATCACAGTTGTATGTACGTCATCTCTATATTTTAATAAACATAATAAGCAAACGAATAATTGGGCACTGTGTTCATAAAATTTTGTAATATTTGATTCCATTTCCAGGAATAATCCTTGGCTACTCTCTGAAAATGCGTTGTTCTCGAATGAAACGCACGGGTATATTGATGGATTAACCAAAGATGTATTGGTGGTGGATAAGACACATTTTCAAGGACTTACCAAAGATGTCATTACTGTCAATGACAGCTGAATGTCTAAAAAAGTGTCTGGAGAATAGACACTGAAGATTTGAAATTGGAGATCTTGAACTGGCAATTTATTCATGGAAGAACACAAAATCTGCTTACGGCTTATAGTTGTCAACTTGATTAAAACAAAAGGAATTCATTTTGAAATAACGTACTTGCTTGATATCTATCGCAATTTATCACTAACGATTCGATTTCAAAATAATCAAGATGAGACAGTAGATGCATTTGCCTTTGAGTAATATTCAATATGACACATCTAAACGTGAAAAAATGTACTTTTCAGTAGAGCTATAAATTGAGGTTCCCTATACTAGGGTGTACCAGAACGTTCCAACCGCTCTGGTGACCTAGTGGTTAGAGCGTCTGCCTCGGATGCGGGTGGTCTTGGTTCGATCCCCGGTCAAGTCATACCAAAGACTTACAAAAATGGTACTTACAGCTCAGCATTAAGAGGTTAGTGTTAGGACTGGTCGGCCTGGTGTCAGGATAATATGACTGGATGGGACATCATGCTACATGTCTGCGGCACGATGACCCAGTGCTAGACATCACTATAAACTGCCACACTGCACACATCGTAGCGATATGTTTGAAAAATTGTTGAAGCTACGTTGAAAATCAAAATCACATCACATCACAACACCAGTACATTTCAGTTAAAGTACGAAGTACATCTCTTTGCATCTCTAAGACGTAACTGGTAATGCATTGTTTGCATGGTCTATTGCCTCAAAAATGAAATCCTCTTTGATTGCCTCACCTGTTACGCAATTGTGGTCGACCCTAATTTATACGAAAACAATACTTTAAAACATCCTTCCTCTTGTTAGAAAACTATGATTTTGAGGATGATGTATTTGAAATTTCAGTATGTTACAAAACGCAGCTGAAACTACCGATACATATAATTCACCCTAAATTACTTTCTTTAACCATTCGACACGAATCACCATACACAGTTGATGAAATGACTTCATGTATCCACGAATAATTATAAAACTGAAAACATAAAAATAGTGTCTCATATATCTTGTTAACGTCTTTTGCTTGTCTCAGAATTTGTGAGTCTGTTGCGTTTTGGGACCATGACAGAAAACTCAGATGATAGATTGGTAAATATTTGTTTAGTTGCTGTGTTAAACAATCGCGAGTAAAAACTGAAAAATGTGGTACATGCAATTAAAAAATTTATTGATAACGAAAATTAATTAAAGCATGCGCCATATGTACGCGAAATAAATTAAAATAAGGAATATAATAAAAATGAATTCATTTGTGCAGAGAAATAAAAAGCCATGACAATTGGTTTGTACATATCTGCTTCTCATTTTCGCTTGAGGGTTTGTATGAGAGAAAACAAATATATGACAAGAACAGATCACGTAAGATCAAAATCAGTTCTTATCAGTTCTTGTTAACCAAAGTACACACTATGCAGTTTGAAAAACGGTCATTGATCAATGCATTTGACTACAGGGACTCTCTAACAGTGACAGAAAACAGAAGAAAGAGGTATGTAGATTTTCCTGCACATTTAGTCGAAAGTTGATGAAAGGTCTGCTATTCTCAGTCTTGATTTCTACTCTCATTTAGAAGTATCTTGTCTTTACAAATGTTTTCTTTCATCATCAAATAATCTAACTGACATAGCACAATTTTGACAAACTAAAAGCAAGAAAACTTTTAAAATTGTATTGGCACATAAAAGCTAAGCAATATTTGAAAATAAACGCATTGAGGCTAGAATTATATACATTTTCCCCTTCCTCATAGGCAATGATCCAATGTGCAATGATGCTAATCACCCGAATACTTTTATATTGATTTGTAACGTGTCGAGAAAAATGTTTGATTCTAGGCAAATCATTTTTAACTGTTTAACTGATTACATTCCACAGCGAAGAGTTCCTAAAAACTTGTCATTATTTCCATGATAGCTCTTTTCGTCATTCCGTGATTTCAGGATGTTTTGCCACAAATCGTATCAAAATGATGTATGTTATGTTAGTGATAAGAAGCCAAATCATTTATTCTCCATCCGCCATGAAATACATCAAACACTTTCAAAAGTGCATGCTAAACTTAGCATGACCAGGTCTCCCCATGACGTCCACCGAATACTTTTTTTGTTATCAAATTTTGTGCTGAGATTTGTCTCATTCCTGTCGCCATCTTGTTTATTACAAAACATTTACCATGTTCAGACAACTGACGTTGAATTATGACCATTGCTATTCATGTGTGAATAGTTATATTTCTGAGTGTTTTCAATAAGATTCAGTTTCGATTTGTTCTGTCTACTATTATCAACCCCATTCTTGCATCTACGCAAATCATTAGACAACACCAAGTTTCCGTCCCGTTTTAACGGCTTCACCAGAAGCCTTTGGAAGATTTTGGATATGGCGGCATGATGTCAAAATGTGAAAAGAATTTGCGTATGGGAGGTAGACAGTGTACAATTGTGCTGAATAAATTACAATAAATAAACGTGTATGTGAATATATACTTCATCGTGGGTCATACATTTTATACGTGAATACACACACACACACACACACACACACACACACACACACACACACACACACACACACATATATATATATATATATATATATATATATATATATATATATATATATATATATATATATATATATATATATATATATAAATGTCTGTAATGGACTAATTTCTGTTTCAAAAGAAATTACATAAGAAAACTTTATCGCTGTAAACGGATGTCCAATGTTCTAAATCATCAAAAGCAATCTAACATATGCAAATAGCTTCTCCTAAATTCTTTTTTTATCTTCAAGTCTGAGTGGTAGGTTAATATTTTACCAGAACTATGTACAATATTGGAAACACAATATTGGAAACACATTATTCGGAAACATCATCTCGGAATTCACCATTTCATTTTTTTTCAACCTCAACAAATAAAGAACAGTATCGTGTATTTTACAAGTGTTGTTAGTTCGTGGATGGACTGTCTAGATTTGCAGGGAAGTCGTGCCAACTCTTTTCAAGTTAGATATTGTCTTCGTGTTCGAAGAGTGTTAACTGGATAATAATACAATATATACGCTCGTGATGACATGCGATATGTTTTCACACATATGACATATGACCACGAGGTCACCACTGTAGCCGTTCTTGCACATATTTTAAATTTTTATGGTGAATACACTTTAATTACCTTCCATAACAAAGATTTATGTTGAGTGAGAATGCCTACCCAACCCCTTTATTCACGCGATTACAAATATCATGGAGACGTTTTGTATGTTCTATGACCACATACTAAGTAACAGAGAGAAGGAAAACTAACAAGTATTGTAAAACTTAACCAATAATTTAATTACTGAAATTTTGAAAAGAATATGTTAAGAGGACCTTAGAATATTAGGCTTTGAATCCAAAATAATCGTTAAAGATCTAGTCAAGTCCTAAAAAATCGAATGTTCCGAATGAGTTTCAAAATGTACTGGTCTGCCAACGGTGCTAATGTATCAGAATGGCGTGCTGAAAGTCATGCACCGTCCGATGCTTGAAGTT